CTGAAGAATTGATGCTTTTCAACTGTGGTATTGGAGAAGACTCTTGAGAGTCCCTTGGACTGCAAGGAGATCCAACCAGTCCATCCTAAAGGAAATCAGTCCTGAATATTCATTGGAAGGACTGATGTCGAAGCTGAAACTCCAGTACTTTGGCCCCCTGATGCAAAGAGCTTACTCATTTGAAAAGACTCTGATGCTAGGAAAGATTGAGGGTGGGAGGAGAAGGGGACAATAGAGGATGAGGTGGTTGGATGGCATCACCGACTCGATGGACATTAGTTTGAGCAAGCTCTAGGAGTTGGTGATGGACAGGGAGGCCTGGAGTGCTGCAGTCCATGTGGTTGCAAAGAGTCAGACATGACTGAGGGACTAAACTGAACAGAACTGAACTGAACTGAGTGTCCTTGTATCTGTCTTGTTTCACACTTGGTCATAGTCACGACTTTCTGATCAATGCTGATGTTGTGTTTGTTGATAGTCTAGCTCTAACTATCCACTGCCAGGACTGATTTTCACTTTCTGAAATGATTTGTTTATTATTAGGCTTTGAGTTCTCTACTTTTTCAATTCTCTGATGTGATATGTTGAACAATATTATAAATTAGTTGTTAGAAGAAAAGATCCCACAGATGACAGATAGTATCAAGTTGTGGTCATTTTCCCTGAGCGTCTCTATTTCTGTCATTTTCCTGCCAAATTGCAGTGACCCCATTTGGACCATCAACAGTAATATATGATACTGTATCTCCATCATTATTGTGGATTGAATATTATTAAAAAAATGTTCATTTAATAGCCAAAAGTGGAATTCAATTTTTAACTTGAGTTTATCTGACTATTGGTGAGGTTTATTTTGTTTTGTTTCTTTCAGTTCAGTTCAGTTCAGTCACTCAGTCGTGTCCGAATATTTGCGACCCCATGAAATGCAGCATGCCAGGCCTCCCTGTCCATCACCAACTCCTGGAGTTTACTCAGACCCATGTCCATCAAGTCGGTGATGCCATCCAGCCATCTCATCCTCTGTCATCCCCTTCTCCTCCTGCCCCCAATCCCTCCCAGCACCAGGGTCTTTTCCAATGAGTCAACTCTTCGCATGAGGTGGCCAAAGTATTGGAGTTTCAGCTTCAGCATCAGTCCTTCCAATGAACACCCAGGACTGATCTCTTTTAGGATGGACTGGTTGGATCTCCTTGCAATCCAAGGGACTCTCAAGAGTCTTCTCCAACATCACAGTTCAAAAGCATCAATTTTTTGGTGCTCAGCTTTTACAGGTGTCTAAAATTATTTTGGAGAATGGTGAAACATGTGTCTATAAGATATTATTATGGTAAGTGTTATTACCCATTCAATTTTTTAACATGCATTTTCCTGTGCAGAGTAGCATCTTTGGACAGTTTGGCATATATTTTTTTGAAACTAAACTGAATATTTTATAATTTTATAAACAGTGTTTTAGCAGACACTAAATTCCTACAGGGCAAACATTTCAACTATTGGAAGAATTCACAATATTTACATTGTGAGTGAGTGAACGAATAAGAGAAATATAATCAATTAATAAGATGCCAAGTCTCTATTGTTGAAGTACATGCTTCTTTATGTAATTGGTGTACATCGTTTCCAAACTGAGATGACTCTGTTTAAGTTGCTAAATTTGTGGTCATTTCTTATCTAGCAATAAAGAATACATTAGTTTTCTGTTTCTCAAGTATTTTTTATTGAAATTCTATATGAAAAACAAAATAAGTTTCTGGAAGAAGAGCTTGTGTCCATGATGTATGTATCTGAAATTTTGTTTTATGTAATCTTGGTTTCAGTTCAGTTCAGTTGCTCAGTCGTGTCTGACTCTTTGCGACCCCATGAACCGCAGCACGCCAGGCCTCCCTGCCCATCACCAACTCCCGGAGTTTACTCAAACTCTTAAGTGAGCATAATAAAACTCTAGATACCAAGTATATTGTTATAAATACCTATTAGATGACATAATCCATAGGTAAATGAGAATTTCTAAATGCTATCATTTCAACTCTACATCTTCCCCAACATTGACCTACACAATTAATTAAAATACAATCTGGTTATATTTACATATAATTTAGTTATAAACATAACAAAGTTAAATAGGAGAATTACTAAATTTACTCTATATTCCTCTTTATCAGTTATTTTGTCCTGACTTTAATATCTGAGTATAACTTTTGGAATAGTAATGGAAATGTACTCAATACTGAAATACATATTCTAAGTTATTGCTTAAGTTTTACTTTAAATATTTTATTATTTTAAATATTGAAGCATAATATTTAAAATAAAGCCTAATGTCAAATATACACACCACATATAGGTATATTTTATGCACATAAATGTAATTATATATTTTAAACATATGTATGTATATATATTATTATGTTTATATATAGTAAGTAATCTATGATACCTTTGGAAATGTAAACAATTCTTTTTCCTCTGATTCTGAAGTCTAAGCCCCACTGAATCCCTTGCTCTGAATAGGATATGCTTTATTCACTCATGACAATCTTGTAGCATCAATCATGTCCTTCACCCTGTAACTGCATCCATTATGTTGCCCAGTTGTTTCCCTATAATTATTTTTCAAGTCATTTCCAGAGTACTTCATAAAATGTTTTTAATGCCACTATATAGAAGTAGATAATAAATTAATTCCATTTTAAGGGCTTTAAAAATGTAGTGTTACTTTAAGCTGCAGTCAATTTTGTACCACCACTTTAGCAGAGGCATAATATACAGTGTTTTTGTTTTCTTAAGATAAGGGTTTCGTTGTTGCAATCTAGGAAAAAAGCTGCTGTACAACAGTGAAGTCTTTTTTTTTTTTTTTTTTGCATGAGGAAGGGAAAAAAAGCCACCTTACCCTTCCCTCTTCCATATGCTTCAACTTTCATGTCTGTTTTGCCCTGTATTCCATTAACATTATGATTAATGAAAGCTCTCCTGAATTTCAAATACCTTGAAAAGTAGCCAATGCCTGCTCTTCGGAGGCCACACTGAAGATAAATAACAATAAAAAACAGGGTGATCCAGGCTTTTGAAGTCTTTAAAGACAAGCATCACTGTGATCTTTGTACCACTGTTGCAGAAAGGAGGACATTTCACATTTCTGGCACTACTAAGGACAACACAGCGACTGAAAGAAAGCATGAATTTCTGGGAGCAGCATCAGGATACAGGGCTCCTGCTGAGCTCACCAGTTCCTTGCTTCGCACAGCTGCCTTCTCAGCTGGGGGTTTTAAATCAGCACTGTGAGGAAAGACAGAAATGACCATGGTGCATTTGCCTCACTATGAGAAAAAGGTAATGTTCAATTAACGCTTCAGCCTTCTGTTTTCCAACTGACTTATTTCTGTCTTTTATGTGCATGTTTCGCTTTGGGTCTTTCTGTTGCTGTTGTTGTTCCTTTTCATTTCATGAAATAAAACCCTTAAACTAAAAATATCTTTGTGCTTGCAGCTATGTATGCAAGGATCCTCAAATTCTCATGGCTTTTGCTGAGATCGATGAGTTGGAGGAATCATAGTGCTTTTAAAAATGTGTATTAAAACCCAGTGAATATTAACATCCCTGTTCACTAGCCAAGCTTGCATGTAACTGTGAAAATATCACAAGTGAATGAATACAGCCTGGTTTAGAAGTATTTCCACAAATGCAGCATCTGACTTTTGAGGATGCGTTTATTTACCTTACCTGCTGCTCTGCTATAGAATTGTGTATACTGTGGTGGTAATGGTGAGCTCTACTTTGAGGTTGGTTTGAATACTGATTACAGAAAGAGTTGATTTTAACAAAGCAATGGTTTTAATCTTTCAGCCATAAATAAGTATATTACCTTCCTTCACATTTGTTACAGACCATACTTGTAATTGCATAGATAAAAATTAATAAACATGATTTTTATTGAATACTACTCTTCACAGTTCTCCATTCTTCACAGTGTTACTTCATCTGTGTTCTTAGAGATGAACTCACTAGGGTTCTTAGCTGTACTCTTTTTATATCTCTTTGAGAACAGTGTATTTTATAAGCCCAGAATGATAGGTGGCTCAGACTGTAAAGAATCCGTCCACAATGCGGGAGACCTGGGTTCGATACACGGGTTGGGAAGAGCCCCTGGTGGAGGACATGGCAACCCACTCCAATATTCTTGCCTGGAAAATCTCCATGGACAGAGGAGCCTGGCAGGCTACAGTCCTTGGGGTTGAAAAGAGTCGGGCGCGACTGAGCGACTAAACACAGCACAGTCACCTGTGTTTATGTGCGCTAGGTTTTATGAATTTCTTTTCAGATTTTCATTAGCCTTCTGGTTAAAAAGATGCTTGCTTTTGAGCTTGAATAAGGTTCTTAAGAAGAAAGTTCAGGGAATGAATGTTCATTGGAGACATCAATATAGTTTTATTTTAAGATTTAAGCCAAAATATTGATTACAACCACTTCAGTAATTGTTCAATATAAAATCTGATCAGTAATTCATTTTACAAATATTTATGTACCAGGAACTGGGCTTGGCAACAGAGGCAATAAGACGAAGGTGTGGTTCTCACTCTCAAGATCTTTATTGTCTAAACCTTTTAATCAGTGAGCTATTTTCTGAAGAGGAATCTGATATTTAAGTTTTTCATGGTACAGCTTATGTTGGAAGAAAGTTTTAGATAATTTATTGCATTTCACTTCAAAGTAAAATATTTAACTAGTAGACAGTCTAGAGGGGACTAATTTTTAATTTTTACCTACTTAGACAACAACTATTTATTGAACGACTCTATTGTATCAGGAACTTTTGTAAACATTTGGTCTATAGCAGCAAATAAGCCAGAGAGAGCCTCTCTATGGGGCTGACTTACATCCTAGCAGGTACTGAGCCCAAAGAGGTAGCATGAAATTTCTGCTTGTTTTTAGAAGCACAAAAAGGCAAAGTGACTGAGAAATTGAACCTGCTGACTTGATACTCTAGCAATTAATCCGGCCCACTTGCTTTTCATATTGAACAATGCTATCCCAAAGGAAAAGAAAGAGCTTCTACAAGTATGTATACAAACTTTCAAAATACTTAGAAATGACTTTAAAGACATACAATAGATAGTTTGTAATAATATTGTTCTTCCTAGAGCCTATTATGCAGAGTAAAGTAAGTCAGAAAAAGAAAAACAAATATTGTGTATTAACACATACATATCGAATCTGGAAAGATGGTACATACCGATGAACCTATTTGCAGGGCAACAATGGAGACACAGACATACAGAACAGACTTTGGACACAGTGGGGAAAGGAGACAGTGAGATGAACGGAGAGATTAGCATTGAAACATGTACAGTACCATGTGTAAAATAGACAGCCAGTGGGATTTTACTGTATGACACATGGAGGTCAAATCTGGCGCTCTGTGACAAGCTGGGGGGAGGGAGGTTCAGTGGGTAGGGGACATATGATGCCTATGACTGATTCATGTTGATATATTGCAGAAACCAACACAATATTATAAAGCAATTATCCTCCAACTAAAAATAAATAAATTAAAAAATATTGTTCTTCCAAATGCAGTATCACATTTGTATAAAAAATGTACCACAAATGTATCACAAATGTAGTATCACATATGTATCACAAATGTATCATAAATGTAGTATCACAGTGTAATGATTTTAATTTTGGGACACTCATAAGTACTTAAGCTGGTTAGCAATCTTGCTGTTCAGTCTCTTCGTCGTATCCGACTCTTTGCAACCCCATGAACTGCAGCACACCAGGCTTTCCTGTTGTTCACTGTCTCCTGAAGTTTGCTCAAATTCATGTCTTGAAGTCAGTGATGCTATCTGATCGTCTCTTCCTCTTCTGCCCTCTTCTCCTTTTGTCTTCAAGAGTTACCCTAGAACTTTCCCTTGGTCTACACCTGGCAAACACACAGTTTTTTTTGGCTATGCTGGGTCTTTGTTGAGGTGTGTGGGCTTTCTCTAATTGCAACTCACGAGCTTCTCTTGTGAAGCGCAGGCTCTAGAGTGTGCTGGTTCAGTAGTTGTGACATCCAGGCTTACCTGCCCTGGAGCATGTGGGATTGTAGTTTCCCGACCAGGGATAGAACCTGAGTCCCTTGCATTGGAAAGCAGATTCTGTACCACTGGACCACCAGGGGATCCTAACACACAGATTCTTAATATCCACTGACATTGCTATACCTTCTTTGCTGGCTGCCTCGTTTATTAGTGAAACCTGTCCACTGAGCATGTTTCTGGGACTCCACCCCAGAAAACATTTGGAAAACTTATATTCAGCTTCCTATCATCTCTCTTTCTCATTTTGACTACCTCATTTTTCTATTTTGAGATTGCAGTGGAATACATTTTCTCTAATTTCTTTCCTGAGTTATTTGAGTCTTTCCTGCTTTATTTTTATCTCCTATGTGTATGTATGTATGATTGATCTATCTCCCTGGAGGAGGAAATGGCAACCCACTCCAGTATTCTTGCCTGGGAAATCCCATGGACAGAGGAGCCTGGCAGGCTACAGTCCATGGAGTTGCAAAGAGTCAGACACAACTTAGCGACTGAGCACATCATCTATCTATTTATCTGTCATCAACTTAAAAATACGCATTTAACCTTTTAGCTTAACTTCAGGCATTTCAAATCAATTTCTTCATTGTCACTTTCATTATAGCTGTTGAAAAACTAAGTTCTCAAGTGTCTGGATTCTCTTGCAGTGAGAGTGGTCATATTCTTTAGTTCTGAACATCTAGACATGAGCATAAACTTACCAAGATCTTTATGAAATATTCTGTTTACTTGATATAAGGGAAAGTCGCTTTGCACAGCTCCTTTTCTCTTACTTCTTGAAGGTAGACTGGGATGCCAAAAGCTTCTGCAGCCATTTTGTGACTATGAGGAGATAAATATGAGGAAATCCTAAGAGAATTTCAGAAATGCCAGCTATAACACGCTAAAACCACTGAACCAATGCCAGCTGCCTCTCTCAAGACTCTTTGTTAATGTCAAAAAGATAAACCAGTATTTACTAAGTCACTCTAAATGCTGTTTTTCATTACTTTTAGTTGGAAGCATTTCTAACAGATGCTGCATGTATAAATAATTTATAGAGGTTGTTGAAAGTTGAACATTGTGTTATAAAATATAACAGTTAACAATAAAGGTAAAGTAGAATTCTTATCTTCAGGAACTTTATGGTGAACATTTTATATGATAAGCAAAAAAGCATCAAGAGATTTTCTGATATTTGTCCAAGGTCTGAGATCAATTTGTGTTGGCATGCTTTTTACTGGTTCTTGATGTGCATTTTCTCACATGTAAAATAGTAGATTGCATTATTTCTGAGGTCCATTGCATATCTAAACTTATAACTTTATTACAATAAAATGTATTTAAAATCGATGGATTTATAACACTACCTGTTGAATAACATTTTAAAATTTAAATTCCTTGTATATTTCTGGCATGAAGAAATCATTATACTTTTACTATTCAAGCTTAGGATTCTGTTCATTCTATATTGAAAAACTGGACTATGAGTTTGAACCTTTTGACATACCACTATCCACTGTAAAAATCCAATTTATTTGAAAATGAATGCGTTAGTTTTCAGTTGTGTCTGACTCTTTTCGACCCCATAGACTGTTGCCTACCAGGTTCTTGTGTCCATGGAATTTTCCAGGCAAGAACATGAAGTGGGTTGCCATTTCTTTCTCCAGGGGAATCTTCCAGACCCAGGGATCGAACCTGGGTCTCCCACATTGCAGACAGATTCTTTATCATCTGAGCCACCAGGGAAGCCCAATTTATTTAGTAATTACCTACTGAAATTAGCATAAAATGATATCTAGAAACCTCCTTTAAGAATAATTTTTCCCAGTGCAACTCCATACAACTTCATTAATCCCTCCCTCCTTTTTTTGAATATAAAATCCAGACAAAATAATTTTACTGCTATGAAGTTATAAATGACATATTAGTTTTTCCAACACTTTTGTGTTATGTGTGTGTCATTGTTTTAAATTGGCATAAAGATGTTTTACTGATATCAGAGAAAATGGTCTCAAATTGCTTTGGGGGGGCGATAAAGCATAACAAAATGTTACTTTACTATTTAAAAGACTGTATAAGGAAATGCAAATTAAAGGGGAATTTATCATGAATAACACTTATTTCAAGATCTATTTTGTATTTTCATCTCATTTTGTAATAATATGGGGTTATGCAAGCTGATCAAGCACCAGTGGCTCTAACCAAGCCTTTTTTGGCCGTGATAGGTTGACACTTAACTCAGATTTATAATTTGCTTGTTGCTGGAAACTGAGATGTGCAAAGAAGCTGTTACTGAAAATAGAAAACAAGTAAAACAGACAATATAGAAAGGAGAGATTTGACAGACAGCTAAAAGCTTTACTGCAGAAAATGAAAAGAAATAGAAATGAAAATGTATCTGTGTGTGTCGTGTACATTTATATATGTGTGTGTCCTGGTGGGTCTGCATATGCAGGCATGTGGGATAATTAGAGAAAGGGACTGTATTTACATCTATATGGAGTTTATTTACTTTTGATGAAATGAGGAAACTATCACCAGATAATTGTTACCACCTCTTGCTTTCCAGAGTAACATGCAGTCCATGAACTGGAGAGCTGACCTGATACTTAAAAATGAGGGTTCCCTGCTTTCTTTGAAGCAACATAGCATCTCTGGGTGGTATTCGAGGATAAAGCAAACAGAGATGCCTTTTCTTTACATGCTGGAAACAGTCATCCCTGTTGCCAAGGAAACATCTTCAGGCAGCAAGGGTCACCTTTGGAAACAAATGGAAGACTTCAAAAGCAGAGCAATAGGAAACACCAAGATCTGAGCTTCCAAGCAAATGGCTCCTGTTTTAAATGTTATTTTCCAACAAACATTTATGTGATTATTATGTACTGGGAAGTAGGAAGGCTAAATTGAATGTGTACCAAGTCTGGTCCAGTATTTGCAAGCTTAGAAACCTGTGATTTTTGGTAGAGATGCTTTGAAAGGAGGAGTGAGTAGGATTCACATCTTAGACGATGGACAGACATTTGGATTTGGAAAAATAGAGCTGTGTTTGATACTTCATTCAAACCAAGTTTCTACTCATTAAGAAAATATAGATTCTTTATACATGCAAGCACATTTGATTACACTTTGTCTAAATTAGCGAGGTTATTATTTTACTTTCTAAGAATGTTTTGTCATATATTTGTGCAGATTTTGTGTTATTAATGTACAACTGTGTTCATTAATTTATTATTCTATCAAATATTTATGACTTCTTCCTCTGAGTCAGATACTACTCTCATGATGAGAAGGGAATAGAATATAGTCCCTACATTTAAGGTCTGTGGGACTCAGTCTGAGGAAGGTAGCTATAGAAATAAACAATGGAATTACTTGCAGAGGAAGCACAGCAGGAGGCTTGTAATTCTTCCTGGAGAGGTGAGGAAAGGCTTTTGGGGAGAGAAAATGCTTGATCTTAGATTTGAAGGATGGATGAACATTGAGCAGGGAGTCCAAGGTTGGAAGAACATCCTAAACCGAGACAACAGCAAATGCAAAGTGCAGAGAGGTGAAGAACAGATTTCATTGGGGGTATTCTGTTGATTGGAGGTCAGGATGTATTTGGGAATGTGTTTGGAGATGAAGATGGAAAATGAAAGCAGAGCTGGATTATATAGTATGAAAAAAGTTTATACCTTACTGTTTTCCAGATTTTTCTATAATAACTTTAGATATAGCTAATAGGATTACTTAATGCTGTAATAAAGTTTTAACTGGTTTTTTATTCCCTCTTTCCCCCTTTTACAATCCAGAATTATTTACAAACATCTATGTGCTTTCAGGTGGCTTAAGGTATTGAAATTTCTGTGACCATTATATAAAGCAAGAATCCTGAAATCTAGGTATAAACTCTCTTGCTATTAAAACTCACTATAACATTTGATCTATTAAAATACAAGTAATAGAATTTTATAATAGGAGTTAGAATGACCTCCACTTTCAAAGTAACTGGTAGGATGCAGATATCAGTAGCAATCATTTCTTGAAATCACATAACTTTATTTTTGCCAGAAAATTCAAAAGTGACAAATGCAGATAGCTCTTCTGACTACTGATGTGTTGTATTCCACACTGAAATACATCTTGTTAACTCTTCATTTATGAGGGACAAGAATGAAACTTTGTGTATAAGAAATTGTGGAGGGTGTGCATGTTTGAGAGCTAAAGCTTTTTGGCATCATTTAGGTTAGCCACCTGTTCTAGCCTGCATTTACTGAATAAATTAGATGCTCTGGGGAGAGTGCATGAAGCTGATTGGTCTGCCTTGTTACCAAGGCAACCATTTTCCTCTCTGCTCTATGACTCTGAAAGGGTTCATAACCCATTAGTGCTCCTCTGGGCAGGAACATGAAAATGTTTCTTTTTCTTTTTCCTTTTCTCTTCCTCCTTTTTCTATTTTGTTCCTTTTTTTCTTTTTTACAAAATTCATGTCAAGATGATGGGATTGATGGAATTCAACAGATACTCTTACAACATTGTTTATAGAGACAGTACATTTTCCAAATGTTTGAAAAACTGAGGTCCAAACCTCAAAGGAACATAAATAACAACTAAATGGAGGAAATGTTAATTATAATTAATAAAAAATGGAAAATGCTTTCAATTTCAAGTGGAGTTTGTCTAAGGCAAAATATGTTAAAATATAGATTCTCTGGTCCAAAAATCAATGAATGAAAGGTTACATTTTTTTCTGGCTATTATTTCTATCAGGGTTTTCTCACTCTGCAGAGACAACGGAACATGAAAAGCCATCAATTTGGCAAGACTTTGTCAGATCCATCAAAACATAAATTCAGAGGCTAAGCAATAATTTTCTGAAAGGGCTGAGGGAACACTGGGCGGATGGTTGACTGCACACTGTGATAATGCCATCGGAAACCAACACAGATTTTACCCACGAGCGACATTTAGACCTCAGCAAGATTTTCTACTATTTTGCAATCCATGTTTGTCTTTCCTCTCCTTTGTAGGCTGTCCTTTTGTATTCAAAATCTTCATTAAAAAAAATCAGTAAACCTCCCAGATATATTTCTCCAGCACCTACCTTGTACTAGGAATTTTATGTTTTGCCACCTGCTTTCTTCCTCCTGTCAACTGAACGAGGGATGTCATTCGTCTTGTGTTACAGGGCAGATTGGGGGTTGAGCCTCAAGTGGATTGCCTGACTTGCTAAAACTAGTTGGGTTGGTATTCATATCGAGTTCTAACTCATTCTAAAGTCATGCTTTTCCACTGTGCTATAATGTCTCTACAGTTCTGTAGTAATAGTAACAGTGTCCTTTCTGAATGTTTAATTATTGTGGAGAAAAATATGTATGAAATAATTAAACATTAAAATTAGACCTCTTGGAGGGCTTTTTGTTCTATTTGGATTTCCTCACAAGTAAAATGCAATTCCAGGTTCTGCTTAGTTCACTGCAGTGCTGAAGCTTTTGTGCATATTTATTAAGAAAGTCGTTAAGAAATGGCTTCATCACACATAGTAATTCCTCTGACACTTTCTACAATTGTCTTTCTATAAATACTACAGAAACTGATTAAAACTGAATTTTAAGTGCCTATGTTGTAAATCTCTTACTTGTTCTTCTTAATTGAAGACCACTAGGATCTCTATGAGAGATTAGGCTCATGTTTTGTTTATGGGCAAATCCCAGTGCAATCAGATTGATTCTAATTTCTCATTGCCTACAGGCTTTGATTTTGTATTCTGAGATTTCAAAACCGGATCTAATACTTTCAAATAAGTGGATACTGGAACATTTTAAGATGTAAGTGCACCACGAATAGGCAATTCTTAAAAGCTACAGTTCTTAGTGTTCATTAAAGCAGTGCAAATATTTTACTTGGTGTGAAGGTAAGGGATGGTTCTTTGTTAAGTATGTTGTGACTGACTCCTGCTATGATTAAAATTAACAAACGCTTTACTAGAGGGTCATACACAAACAGGAAAAGCAAAGACATTCGTCTCCTAGAATATGGGGATTTGGAAAAAGAAAAAAATGCCTACCTTAATTTGTTGCAAGCAACGTGGCTTTTGTTTCTTCCCTCCTATTTCTAGCATCAGTTTAATATTTCAAAGTGTCTGCAAAGAATAAGGCAATTATTTACAATTTGGAAAAGAATGTTACACAAAGGTAGTCTATTTGCATTTTTAGAAATACCTTTATTTAAATATATTTGCTTGTGGTGTTTTCCTGCAGTTGTCTAGACCAGATTAAAATACTACTTTTGTGCTCCAGTTGTATCCTGATGCCCTGGGTCATTTAACAAGCTTTCCACAACCATCTGTGGTCTTCCCCATGGCCAGTACTCTGTTAAGTGCTAGGCACTCTGAGGTGAAGCCACTGTTCCTCTCCTCTTGAGCTAAGCTTTGTGGGGCGCATCTATAAGACAGTCAGTGATCCCAGTAGGGTACATGCTGTCACCAAGTAATGAACTTGTGGATCCAGAGACATACTGAAGAGGGTTTCCAAATAGATTCAGCACCTACTCATTCCTCACCCTGAGTCATCCTCAGTGTCTTGTACTGCTGACCACTGTCCCTATTACTGGCTCTCCTACTAGAATATGGGGATTTGGAAAAAGAAAAAAATGCCTACCTTAATTTGTTGCAAGCAACGTGGCTTTTGTTTCTTTCCTCCTATTTCTAGCATCAGTTTGATATTTCAAAGTGTCTGCAAAGAATAAGGCAATTATTTACAATTTGGAAAAGAATGTTACACAAAGGTAGTCTATTTGCATTTTTAGAAATACCTTTATTTAAATATATTTGCTTGTGGTGTTTTCCTGCAGTTGTCTAGACCAGATTAAAATACTACTTTTGTGCTCCAGTTGTATCCTGATGCCCTGGGTCATTTAACAAGCTTTCCACAACCATTTGTGGTCTTCCCCATGGCCAGTACTCTGTTAAGTGCTAGGCACTCTGAGGTGAAGCCACTGTTTCTCTCCTCTTGAGCTAAGCTTTGTGGGGCGCATCTATAAGACAGTCAGTGATCCCAGTAGGGTACATGCTGTCACCAAGTAATGAACTTGTGGATCCAGAGACATACTGAAGAGGGTTTCCAAATAGATTCAGCACCTACTCATTCCTCACCCTGAGTCATCCTCAGTGTCTTGTACTGCTGACCACTGTCCCTATTACTGGCTCTCCTGTTTTTGCCCAAATCTCTGGATGCATCACAGAGTGGATATTTGCAGTCATAATTTTGGTTTATCTCCATTTTGACTTTACCCTCTGCCTGTGCTAAGTAAGTCAATTTAAACAATGACTTCTTTGGATTGATTTACTTCGATATGATCGTCTGGTTACCTCTCTCCCTAGATAATTCTGCCCTAATGCTTGCAATATTACATGTTAATTACCTACCTCCTGGAAAGCAAACTTTTAAATTGCTGACCTAGTCACCAATTCCAGGTAATGAGATGTGTAGGAAACGTTTCTGAGGGATACTGTCGATGGAACGACTTGTACTACAGATTCCTCTAAGACCTTGCCCTTAAGCATATGCTACGCCTTGCCAGTGCCTGCCCTTCACTGTCCAGTTGGGAGAAAAGCCATGACAAACCTGGACAGCATATTAAAGAGCAGAGATATCACTGTGCCAACAAACGTCCACACAGTCAAAGCTATGGTTTCTCCAGTAGTCATGTACAGATATGATAGTTGGACCATAAAGAAGACTGAGCACCAAGCAACTGATGCTTTAGAAATGTGGTGCTGGAGAAGACTCTTGAGAATCCCTTGGACTGCAAGGAGATGAAGTCATTCAGTCCTAAAGGAAACCAACCCTGAATATTCATTGGAAGGACTGATGCTGAAGCTGAAGCTCCAATACTTTGGCCACCTGATGAGAAGAGATGACTCATTGGAAAAGACCCTCACACTGGGAAGCAGGAGGAGAAGGGGGCAACAGAGGATGAGATGGGTGGATGGCAGCACTGACTTGATGGACATGAATTTGAGCAAACTCCAGGAGATAGTGAGACAGGGAAGCCTGCTGTGCTTCAGTTCATGGGGTCACAAGAGGTCAGACATGACTTAGTGATGGAGCAACAATAACCAAGTTGCACGAGGCCAACTAGAGGCCACGCCAGCAACCAGGAGAGCAGCTAGCCCTAGTCTTGAAGGTCAGCAGGCACCTTCCACCCACGCTGGAAATCCACACACTCCTGGGGTCCAGATTTATTTGGATACTGTTTTAGATCTAAATTTTAATCACATCTCTTTTTTAAAAATAAAAGAGTCATATTGAACATATTGTTCTCCAATTTTTTTGTTCCCAGATAATTTGGAAAATATTCTGGTGTACTCAAGTCCAAAGGGAAATTTAGTAAGAAATTCTGGGCCGTCCAAACCAAACCTCCAAAAGGAAAGAAATCATGGCTGTTTGGGGAGCAACTCAACATTGCTGTTATGGAACCCAATTCACAGTGCCTTATGTCTCTGCCTGTCCATGTTCTACTTGATAAACTCCTAAGGAAAAGAATTTGGGTCTAACTTGAGTCACTTCTCTGTCTATTGGACTCAGTCAACCATGGCCAAAGAGGCTGGTGGAACTGACCACTGGGAGAAAGATGACGAGTGTTCCTGCCACCACAGCTTAAATTCTACTGTTGACCTTGTACTTTCCTCATCTCCTTGAAAGGACCCAGTTTTCAAATAAAACAGGCTTGCCAACTTGTCAGTTTATTGTCTCAAGTTTGAACTGCTAGCTAAGATCTCTTCTTAACTTTATTTCTTTTTAAACTATCCTGACCACAAATTAACTGCTCTTATTTATGGTCTTCTCCTTCTTTTTTCTTATGGGCAAAATATTGTTTTGCAGAAACTTTCTTAACTTCACTGATCTTGATCTTTCTTGGAACTGATTCTGGTTCTCTACCTGATTCTGTCATTTCAGACCTCCAGAATAATAACTTAATTTTATCCTGCTTAAGGTACATTCCTAGTTAATTTTCCAGTGGTTCTGTTATGAGTCCTTGACAAGTTGAATCTTGAAAGTAAAGGGCATGACAATATCATATGGAAGTATGAGGAATACAGTACTTTAAAAGGATATTAAGGGCACAGCATACATGTGTATGTAGGATAGCTGAGTCTGAAAAAGTAAGAAAAGGTCATGACAAATTTGAAGTCAGTGATGGTCACATAAAGAATATTAATAAGGTAGTGTCATGATTAGATGTTTATTGGGAGAATGTTTAGCTTGGTGTAAGACTTGGAGGCTATAGCAAGAGTTATTAGAATAACTAAGGAAAATATAAAGAGAGTCTAAACCAAGATAGTGGTAGTGTAGGTAGAAAGTGAAAAAAAAAACACAAACAAGTGAGATGTTTAGGAGGTAGAATTTATAAGAGTTACAGAGTAGTGAGGGAAAATAAGTTGAGGTTGACTCTGAGGGCTATGGTTGGAGAGGTAAATGACAGTATCATTCATCAAAAAGAAAATGCAGAAATCTGTGTGGCTGAAGAAAAAGAGAGAGAGTGTGTATGTGTGTGTGTGTGTGTGTGTGTGTGTGTGACTCTAAATCTATGAGTCTGTTTCAGTTTTGTAAGTTCATTTGTATCATTTCTTTTTAGATTCCACATATAAGGGATGTCATATGATATTTCTCCTTCTCTGTCTGTATTCCTTTTTGAGTCACACTGACCAAAAATTTACTGAGAGAGCTCACACAATACAGGCAAGTTTTCTGTCCTACATTTGCTGTCCGGTGAGAGACTTCTTGGAGAAGGGAATGGCAACCCACTCCAGTGTTCTTGCCTGGAGAATCCCAGGGATGGGGGAGCCTGGTGGGCTGTCGTCTATGGGGTCGCACAGAGTCGGACACGACTGAAGTGACTCAGCAGCAGCAGCAGCATGAGGGCAGAGCGTTGGGGTGTGTAGTAATTTATAAGGGGCTGGCATTTAATTTCTCCACACCAAGAGGCTTAAGTTTAGGTTGCACAGTGTTTTGGCATTCGACTTTTCCTTGCAGTTTCTGGTGATTTCGTCCCCAGGCAAGGAGANTTAATCATACAGAGATCTTCAGGATTATTACTCCCTCATTTCTTCACTGTAGCATAAGCTATTTAAGGTCACAAAATCTTTGTAAATCATGTCTGTATTCTCTGTACTCCCAAAAGACTTAGTCAAGATTCAGAAGACACTGAATGAATTAGCTTTTAACTATGAGTCATACTTCCAAGGGAGAAAAGCAGACATAACAAAGGTATAAAAATTCCTAAGCTTCTTCTCATTTTATTTTATTGCCTCCAAGTTTATTCAGTCTACCTTTGATCCCTTATACCTCCGAGCTTTCCCAAACAACAGAGAAGGAATCAGTGGGTAACCCTTGGAGTGATTCCTCAAGACACAAGTCCATTTTCATCCTAGATATCTGGTGCTACTCAGAATGCATCTGATATCTAGTGATTCAGAGATGTCATTTTTCCTTTTATCTTGGGAGTGTTCTCTTCTCAGTCATGGCTTCACTATGCCATGATGCTGATGTAGTTCTTTGCTTCAAAGTCTTGGTCTTTTTTTCCCATCTGGAGGCAAAGCTATTCAAGGCACTATTTGATGGAGTGAGTGTTGTAATATTGTCTGGGGATGTTATGAAACAGCACTGTTTATATTACCTGCAAAGCACACCCAGTCCTGCCTTTAATAATCTGAGTTTAGAAATATTTGCAAAAGAAGAGAACCAAGATGCTGCTGCTGCTGCTGCTAAGTCGCTTTAGTCGTGTCTGACTCTGTGCGACCCCACTGATGGCAGCCCGCCAGGCTCCACCATCCCTGGGATTTTCCAGGCAAGAACACTGGAGTGGGTTGCTATTTCCTTCTCCAATGCATGAAAGTGAAAAGAAAAAGTGAAGTTGCTTAGTCGTGTCTGACTCCTAGCGACCCCATAGACTGCAGCCTACCAGGCTCCTCTGTCCATGGGATTTTCCAGGCAAGAGCCAAGATGAGCTCTAGCTTTATAGCTATGTTATATCTTCGAATGAGATCCATTTGAAAGGATTTATTCACTTTGGGGCCTAGGACTATGAACAGACCAAAAAAAAAAAAAAAACAGGGTTATTTTTACTATTCATGCATCTGGTGATATATCCTCAAGTGTAATATTTAATATTTACAATAATTTCTGTGTCTTGTGCAAAATAACAATTGTAAATTGATATCTAGTCTCATTCATCTTGAATTTCTGGAATTCTAGGCAAGAGTAGAAGATAACAACTCACGAAATTTGATTTAGAGGAAGCTTATTATTTAGTAAACATGATAGAGAGTAAGATTAATGGAGGGAAATTTTTTGTGTGAGGGGGGACAGGGTGCAGCACTTTTGAATGCATCATTTTTGCCTTTGGTTCAAGTCAGTGGTTCCCAAACTTGTCTGCACATTAGAAATCCTTGAGAAACTTTAATAATCACAAAAACAACAATTGTGATAAATGATTAAATCATCAAGGCCAAAGACTCATCACAAATATTTGGATTCAATTTTGGGCTTTGTATTTGAACACTGATATTTTTAAAACCCTCAAGTGATTTTAACATGCAGTCGGGTTGAAAGCCACTGGTCTGTGGAACAATACCCCACTATATTCTGATACTGTCGAATGTTTTCTTAATAATTCTGTCATGGCTTTCTTAGTTGCCCCCAGCATTTGTAACACTGCATCTCTCAAACATCCTTTACATTTATATGAAAATAAGTAAATTGTGTTTTCTATAGATAAAAAATTTACTATTGTTATGTATTTATATTTTCTATCAAAATGGGTTTAGAGGGAGAATAACAGTCATTCAAATACGTCTCCACATATTTGAATCCAGTGATTCCTTTGGCTTCTCTGGTTTTATTAGGCTTTATAGAAAGGCCCTCAGACACCGTGGAACCCATCACCGATCTGTTAATCAACACATACTGGCTTGTTCCACAAATGCCCACTGAGTGATCTGCTTTCAGACAACTTGAATAAACTTTAATCCCTAACTGAGACGAGCTGTGCTAACCAGATGTGCTTCAAAGTGAATTGACCTTTGTGCTATCCAATCACTCTCTGCATCTTGGCCACCTTTGGCCCCTGGGTCTTCAGGAACATCACATGATGTATCTGCTCTGTAAAAATGAGGGAGATAGATGATGAGGTTTCTATCAGATACAATTTTAGCTTTAGGTTCAATGAACTGTGTTCTAAATCAGTAGTTCAGTAGCCCACTGAACACTAGTCATACCTAACAGCAGGAACACTAGTCTTCATTTTTTCTGATTTTTTTTTTTTTGGTTATAGCTAATTATAGCAAAACCAAATTATTAAGAAGGGTTGCATACTCCCAGCTTGTGCACTTGCATCCAGTAATTTATTAAAAAATGTAGAACTGGTATCTAATATTGCTGGCTGTCATAGGACTTTGACACTTTGATAAGAGACAATGCTTGGTCTTAATACATTTACTATCTCTTATCAAGGAGCTAAGGAACTAACAAAATATAAGATCAAAAGCCTATGAGACTGCTACAGTCTAAACCTAGTATTTAGAGGAAATCTTTTTGACTAGTATGCAATATGGAGAATACTGAACAGATGAAGAAGCCCCCCTGCCCTACCCAACTCTTTTAGCATCTTTTCTAGCCCATTGTAATCACTGTAACCAGAGGACCTCCTCAAACATTATTTTTTTTTAAATAATTGTAGATTCACATGTAGTTGTAAAAACTAATCCAGAGTGATCCCATATGCCCTTAATCTAATGCCTTATAATGATAACTTATAAAACTATAGTACATCAGAACCAAGATACTGACATTGATACAATTCACCAATATTATTCAGATTTTCCCAGTTTTCTTGTGTCACTGTGTGTTTGTATGTGTGTGCACATGTATTTCAGAGAAGGCAATGGCACCCCACTCCAGCACTCTTGCCTGGAAAAATCTCTATCAAATCAATATGTATCATTTACTCAATCTGAGTTAACTGTTCCTTATTCTGACAGATTAAGTATTTTTTCCATGTTAGTAAGAGTTTTTACACAATTTGAAATTTAGTATTGAAATAGTTTTATTACTATGGGGATACCAGCCTAAAGTTGAAATGATGGACTGGTTTTTACCGCAAAAATAAGTGGCTAATTTGATAGTCTGTATGTTAAAGTAGATAGCCAGTGGAACTTTGCTAAATACTGCAAGGAGCTCAAATCTGATGCCCTATGACAACAAAGAGAAGTAGGATGGGGTAGGACGTGGGAAGGAGGTTCAAGAGGGAGGGGCCATATGTACACCTAGGGCTGATTCATGTTTATATATGGGAGAAACCTAGAGCCGGACATCTTGGAGTAGGAAGTCAAGCGGGCCTTAGGAAGCATCACTATGAACAAAGCTAATGGAGGTGATAGAATTCCAGTTGAACTCTTTCAAATCCTAAAAGATGATGCAGTGAAAGTGCTGCACTCTATATGCCAGCAAATTTGGAAAACTCAGCAGTGGCCTTAGAACTGGAAAAGGTCAGTTTTCATTCCAACCCCAAAGAAGGGCAATGCCAAAGACTGTTCAAACTACTGTACAACTGCACTCATTTCACATGCTAGCAAAGTAATGCTCAAAATTCTCCAAGCCAGGCTTCAATAGTATGTGAACTGAGAACTTCCAGATGCTCAAGC